TGTTCAAATGACCAAACAGTGGCCTCAAATTTGATTAATCTGCCTTCTTCCATAGCATGACCTAGTTAGTACCACCATATGAGGCTGCCTTATACGAGTCAGATCACTGGTCTACCAAGGACAGTATTATCTTGGCAACAGCTCTCCATGGTCTCCGGCAGACGTTTTTCATGTTATCTACAACTTGCTCCTTTTACCTGAAGAGATTGAAAGTGGGGCCTTCTGCATGCAAAGAAAATGCTGCATCACTGAGCCATGACCCCTCCCCTAAACTGTATGATGCAGGAAGAAAGTGTGGAGTCCAGTGGAGTAATGGTTAGTGCTGGACTGGAGATCCAGATTCAAATTCCCACTCTGACACAAAGCTTGTTGCTGGGTGACTTTGGGCCAGGAACTCTCTCAGCCTAGCCTTCCTCACAGGGCTGCTGTGAGGACAAAGTGGAGGAGAGGAGGCCCAGGCATGCCACCCTGAGGTCCTCACAGGAAGGTTGCAATAAGAAAGTGCTAGAAAGGAAGATGACATGACACTTTAAATCCAGTTAATATTTTAGCTACCTTAAATAGTTGAAGAAAAACAAGAGATGAAAAACAGAGTATTCCTTTTTATTGTTTTATTTACTTCTGTATACATAACCCTTTATCAACATGGATTTAACACTGCCCCTCCCCCCCCCCCCAGCTCCCCTCCCCAGGTATCCACCATCACTGTGTGGAAAACTCTATATGCAACAAGGCTTTTAAGCAATCAAAGACTTGTCAAATCCACCATCCCTTCGCTTTACACTAAAAAATAGGGGTGTGCCACAATGCAACACAGCTCTGTTGCCACCCAGTGGCTACTACTTCAGGTAGTTCTGCTATCAATCACAAATCCTGGCCCGTCCTCTGGTAGGATTCACAATGCAAGTGCAGTTTGCCCCCAGCTCTTCACCATCTCCTGGGAGAGCGTGCCACCAAGGGTTTCTAAAACCTCCCCTTTCTCTCTTCCCACAAACTCTTCAGTGTTGTGCCATTTTTCAGAGTCTGCAGTAATGAAGCATCTAAATCAGATGGGCCACTTTTCATGCACGAAGTACGCTATAGCTTTTGCAGAACTCCTGAGATTCCTGTTCTCACCAGTTCTGTTCTATTGCCATTCAGGTGAAATGCTGGAGAGAATCTGCACTCATCCAAGGAACAAGCTCGTCTCAGCTCCTTAAAAGGGGGATGCACACCATCCCTAACCAGGAACAGGATGGGGCTCAAATGCTGACCATTCAAAGAGTTTACAGATAAGACAAAGACTATGGAACTGCAGTTGCAGTCGGTGAGTGTCAGATTAGTTATTGTAAACTATCCTATACTGAAGGAGGAGATTATATAGCTTCAGCTCCCAGCACCATGCTTCCTTCCCAGAGGAAAAAAAGTTTAATAGAAGAAAACACAAATAATTTATTGCAACTACAATTCTTATTGAAGCAAAACTGCATGCGCGTGGTGGGAGACACATAGAGGAGAAACTGTAGGAAAGTTTTGTATCAGGAACCAATTGGTTCAGTTCACAAATCCAGAAAGGAAGTTGTAATGGTCTTATCTACACTGGAGTGCAAGGGGCTGTTCTTATTAAATACATGACAGTTACTTTCATATATATACTCATGGGAAAGCAATCAGCAGAATAGTCTAGAAAAGGCAGCTAAGAGACTGATGGGCAACTCAAGCAGGGGGAGAAAGTACTTCAAATGGATTTCCTACTAACCATCTATAGCATCTCTTTCCTGTAAAGTTACAAGCCTGTACAAGCTGAAAACAATCTACGTGATGATTTCTCTTGGTTACACGACACTGTATTTCACAGTGGGCAGTCTCCTCAGCAATCCACAGGACAAGCTGTCAACCTGACACCTTTCCAGTGTGAACTTCATGAGAGAATCCATGTCAGCATGCACAACAAGCATCTGCTAGGCTGCAGGCAGCACACAACAGAAGAGGCTGTTGAAGCCACTGGTCATGCTGCAGGACAGTGGGGCAAGATAAAACCCCTGGTAGGCTGCAGCACATGTGCAGGACTGACCCCGATTGCCTCATTTTAGTGCTTCACATAATACCCTGCTGATGCTTAGCTTCCAACTAGCTGTAAGAAACAGCACTGAGGCTCCTCTCCAGATAACAAGGACTACAAAAAAGTGTAGCTGGAAATGAGTATAGGTAATGCCAGCGAGTGCCACAACAGGATTTAGAACCAACCATGTGAGGTAGAGCGGTAGACTAAAAGCCTTTTGTCCCTTCAGTATCAAAGCATTGCTCGAACACAAGTGGCAACACAACTGTTTAATTATAATCATGCTCAAGAGAAATCCTCAGCTCAGTCCTTGGACTTGTGAACACACTCGGTTATTAAAAAAACCTCTTGAATTGCAAAAATATGCCATTACAAGCTCATAGATAACAGTCAAGAGCTCCCACAAATTCTATCTTCTTGAATAAGAAATATTTAAATGTCACAGTTGCCTTTCTAATTTCCGCACAAAATACTGAACTCATTTCATTCTCCATTGATGCTCACACCACTAAGTTTCACAGAAACAAAAAGATGTGCATCTAAGTGAGAAGACTGGACGTATGGCTGAGGAAAGATGGAGATTCCACCACCCAGTATCAGTTTTGCCTCAAAATGGATTTGAAAAGCCTGGGTCAAAATGTCTAAGAGGCAGACTGTGTTAGAAGGCCAGCCACAAAGCTGATTAGCAATTAGTACAACCTCAAGACAAGACTTGCTGCTCTTCCTGGCATTTGCCCATCCAAGCTACAGGGAAAGACAAAGCAAGCAAGGCGACACAGTGAAAAAGGGGGACTCATGACCGCAGAGCTAGGAAGTAGCCATTGCTCCTCCTCAACCAGACCCCTCCCTCTCCAAACAGACAATGTGGACGCTAACAGGCTCCTTACTGTTGACCAGAATGGGCAATGAGACCTACTCTGTGAAACTAGCACTTTTCCCCCTTAGGAAAAAGGGACAATTCCTAAACATGGTTTGCTGCTCCTGCTGTACACCACTTAAAAGGGATTTCAGTTTTGGAAGGAAAAATGCTTCCCTAAACAGCAACTAAAACAGCCCTTAAGCCTCCCCCCAAAAAAACGCCCCCCCCAAACCCAATAAATAAGGAATTTTGTTATCTCCACTTAAAAAAAAAGAAGACACGTTCAAAGTGCAAATTTACTTTTACCAGCCTAGCGCCCATTCTCATTGCCTCTCCCACAAACGTTTGCAGCCAAAGCAGCTGTACAAAAAGGAATGCACCCCTCATCGAGAGAGCATGCAGCATCAGAGTGCTGGTATCACCACTCTTTCCTCACAGAAGCAGAAGGGAAGGATGAGAGAAAGAGGCATAGAGGCTGTTTTACAGCTCATCCTAAAGTGCCAAACTATACCCCTAAACCCTAGAAGGAAAAGTGACAGCCTGCAAGGGTCAAAGTGTAACAATGCATAGAACAGGATGAGTGACTGGAGACGCAAAAGAGGATCCCAAGATTGAGTTACTGACCCAGAGCACAAACACCTCCAGACTTGCCATGTGGCCAAGAAGCAGGAAATTTGCTTACTTTGGGCGGGCAGGGAGAGGGACAGGCTCTGGCTGCTTCTCTTCCCGGCATTGCAAGCATTCCTTTGCTTTGTCAGAGGCTGTCTGTGTAAAGGCAACATTCCGCTCCGAGGGACTCTGAAGGAATGTGCTGTGATCCACTCAGGAAGGGGGTGGGTGAGAGGGGAGCAGGCCCTTTAGTTATCTGACTAGTAATTTTAATTTGTTTAGCTTCTCTATGTTGAATAATTTTTCCTTTTATTATTTTAAATACAAGTTCGAGTTGTCCCAACTCCTATGTGCTCTTTTCCCACTAAGGTCCTGTAGAATCAGAATCTTCAATTAGAACTTCAGTGGTGGCTCCAAGGATCTCTGTGTTCATGACCAGCCCTTCCGCACTCTCACTGCTACCACTGCCCACAAAGATTTTTCCATCTGCCATCGGACTGACACGGTCACCCCCACTGCAGTATGCCTTTGGCATCCCATCAGGATTCAGCAGCAGACACTCTCCAGAAGCGGTGTTCCCAAGGGGGTCTGGAAGAAGGGGAAGGCCCTGGCCATCTGTGGGCGAGGCAATGGGCTCTGCATTGGTGCCCAGGATGTCAGTGCTGGTGATAAGGGCACCCGCATTGGCCGCCAGCGCTTCAGCAATAAGCACCTCTGGGTGGCTCTTGGCCTTATGTGCTACAACGCTGTCCTTTTTCTCGAACTTCTTTCCACAGATATTGCATGAGAACTGGTAAAAGGTATCTGCATCATGCTTTTTCATGTGCCAGTTCAATGATGCCTTCTGCCGGCAGGTGAATCCACATATCTCACATCTAGAGAAAATGGGGGAAGGGGCAGGAAAGGTAGGTTATAGTTATCAAGGTAAAATCTGCTATTTACATAATGAATACAACTAGAATACGACAAGGCAGCATAAGAGAATAAGCACCCGTTACAAAGACACTGTTGGAACAATCCCACACGAAAACTGCAAGCAAGGCAAAATGACACTACTCACTGCAATGGCTTCTCGCCTGTGTGGATCATTCGGTGAACCGCTAGATTGTGAGAACTCTTGAAAGCACGAGCACAATATTCACAGATATAATCCCTTTGATCTGTAAAATAGCACATATTACCTCAGATTTGAGATTTGCTTCTCAAATAGACCCAACATTTCTCCTTTTGGAAATGGCCTTGTGCTCTATTCACAATACTATTAAAGTTTTCAAATATTATCCCTTTAAGAGTTTTTTTCAAAAGTGATAGGGAACTTGTTGGTAAGGGCAAGACAGTTGGAGGGGGTAGAAGAGGTCTGATCAGGCTGCAAGGGACAGAGACATTCTACCCCTTGGCTTAGACAGAACAGAGTTCTTCAATTCAGAAGTCTTAAGAAAACAGTGATGACCAGCCACACTAGTTCAGATTAAATTATAGATTTGTGTCTACTATCCAGTTTTCTTATTCACATCATTTGCAAGATCCAAGTGTTTCATGGCTCTCATTACAGTATAAAGGTTGGATGCTGTCCTTTGACTTCTTATTCTTTCAGATATAAGAGGCTAAGGGAAAACAGCATGTTTTTCCCACCTCCTAAACTCAACTGCTTCCCTCAATATTTCATATATATATAAATAATCTCTAATGCATTTTTTGCTCTCAGTGCAATTCTAGTACAAATAGAAAAGGGAAATTTTAAACCAGTGAATGCCTGACATTTAGAAAACATCAGAATTCACGTGATCATTGACAATCTCAAGACAAATTCCGTGAATGTGCAAAAGTGTACATATAAATACCAGTGAACATAAACAGTGGTCTAAATGTGATTATCGGTACTCACTGACGTATGCTTAAAACCTATTCTGATGTTCAGGAATCTGTCTGGGAAGGTCAATATTTTGCATGTGAACACTTATGCAGATAGTGCTGATCTAGAGAGACTTTTGATAGAGGAAAATCAGCAGATCTCCAGACAAATAGCAAAATTCTGCTGGCAACGGGTAAAATTTCACAATAAGAAGTAGATCAAGTAGAATCCTCGTTTGCCTTTGTATGAATCATAAGTAGTTTAGTTTTAAACATCTTATAATTATTTTGATATAATGGACTGTTAAACTTTTCTCCTTTTAACATTTTAATAATTTTAAGGTTATATGGTTTTTTTATTGCTGAAAGCTAATTTGCTTGTATTTAACGAACATGTAATGTAATATTTTGATAAACGGTCTTTGACTGCAAATAAACATAATTAATTCATGTGAACACTGATATTTACCAAATTTTAACCATTCACTGTGTTAAAGTAGCTAAGTATACAATTCCAAATTCTGGTAATTAACACTGGTATATTTGGGCATGTGGGTCAGTAAAATTTTGTAGGCTGGTGAATTCTGCAGATTCATTTCCAAACTGGTTGTGAGCAGAACTCATCAATGCAGACTTGCCACAGCCCCACAGAAAGAAGCATGGACAAAGGAACAGACTAAATGCCCTTGGGCAGGACTGAAAACAGATTACATAATGAATCTGAAAGGCAAAGTAATAACCCATACACACAACTGATTATTCTACATGGAGAGTAATGTTCCCTCTAAGCTCCACAGTGTTGTGAGCAAAAAATTCTACCTTGTGAATGAAAAAAGCTAGTAGCATTAAAGTTGTGAGTGAGTCTACATTTGACTATTGCATAAAGTAGTTTTTTAGTTATTTCCATAACCTTGTAAAAATCTCAGAATGAATTATTTTACACTATATTTAACCTATATTTTAGGAATAGTTTTAAACATTATAAGAGAAAACAGAATCAAGTCAAATTTCATTACAGAAAATGTTGTCCTCTACTGGGGTAAGACCAGGCCTCCAGAGAACAGATCTGCCTCCCCTTTCCACTATTATTGATAGATCTGGCCTCCAGAGAACAGGTCTGCCCACCACTTACTACTACATTGGTCAACCCAGCCTCCAGAGAACAGGTCTACCCGCTCCTTTCCACTACATTGGTTGACCTGGCCTTGGACTGTCACCCTGCACTGAGCCTTAGAAGAAGATATACATGAGCACTTGGGGGGGGGGACTCTTGCAGTCTACTTTGGGTTGTTTTTTTTAGTGTAATATGACAAATTACAGGTCAAGTATAACAGAAGTGGAACAATCACTGTCAGAACCCTGCCTAACCTAACAAACAGGAAGTTGCTTAATTGTTATCAACCTGCCCAAACTACTCATTTATTCAAATATTTATATCTCAGTTTTCCCTGTGACTCAAGGCAGCTTACAAATCATACTGAAAAGCAAAACTGTTTTTTGACGTAAAGGCACCAAATTTTCAGCATAGCTGCTGGTGCCTCTCCTCAACCCCTCCCCCCTCAAAGTTTCAAAGAGATTGGACTAGGGGGTCCAATTCTATGGGCCCCAGAAGAAGGTGCCCCCATCCTCCATTGTTTCCTATGGAGGGAAAAATGCCTCAGCGTGATCAGAAGCTTACAATTCCTGAGCTGGAAGATAAAATTTTGTGCGCCAGTGCTCCCTAGTGCAGCTTAGAGGGAACTCTGATGGAGAGCATGGATTTGCAACAAGAAAATATTGGAATGGGTTTTTTTTGTTTTTTTTAAAGCTGCAGGCATTGACCTTTGAAGCCTTTACCCTATTTCAAAATGTACTCTGATTTGTCATCAGTACACATATACTCTACATTACTCTACACTACCTGCTTTTAACAGGACACACGAAAACCACGTAATATATAATTACTCACAAAAGCCTTAATCCTGGCATATTGTCATTGTAAACTGAAAAGAAACCTGAACAGGTATCTGAAAGTGGAACAAGAGAATGACCCTCAGAAGACACAACTTTACAGAGGGACTTTAAGTTGGTGTCTGAGATTTTCTTTTCTCATGCTGATAACAAAGTTTTACATACTTGCATTGTGTGCTCTCTGTGCTTGGATTAAACCTTTTCATGCTCAAGAAGAAAACTACCACTTCTCTATTCTTTGCAAAGCTGCACATGAGAATTGTGGCCACATTACCTGTGTGGTGTTTGGCATGCCGCAAAAGTTGCTTCTGGAGTCGAAAGAGACGCCCACAGGAGGGATGGGGACAGACATATTTCTTTTTCAGCAAGTGCTGATACTTGATGTGATGCTGAGGTCAAGGGAAATTTTAAAGGTTTAATAGTAATAGGGGGAAAAAGTCAAACCAAGTGTTCTAGACGTTAGTAACTAGTCTTGATATTTCACTATTGGTGACTGAAGGTCATTAATTGCAGTCTTAAGTTTCAAAGAAACAGCATTCATTATGAAAGTACTGGACTGAAGAATGACAGAGACTGGGACTTGAAGTACTTCAATATTTATGCTGTTCCTCAGATTTCTGGCATTTGCAGTACTCATAAGTGGGCATCAAAAAGTTCTTGCTACTCACAAGCAGCAAGGTACTCTGGAGTTCTTCAAAAGAGCTAATTACATGTAAGAGTGCCCTGATACCAACCCGGAGACTCCACCTGGAGCAGAATGCCACAGCTCAGTTATTATCAGGGATGAGACAGGGTGTGCATATTACATGTATTATTGGCTGCCCAGCAGCTACTGGGTTCAATTCAAGGTAATGGTTATCTGGACCTTCCTATCTGCAGGACTGCTTCTGCTTCTATGTTCTGCCTTGACACCTCTGCTCATCTGTTCAGGGCCTTCTGAACATGACATCCTGCAAACAGGCAAAAACTGCTCACACATGAGCTTTCAGCTGTGGCCCCCAGCTTGTGAAATTGCGGCCAGAGGTGAAGAGGGCTTCCATGCTCCTGTCATTCCATAAGCAATGTAAAACTAAGTTGTTCAGGAGAGGTCTTCTATAAAGCCAACAGGCTATGCTATAACAGACGAGTTCAATAAAGTGCTTTATAAAGGGAAAGGGACTATGAATTATTCCTCTGGGTACAGACTGAACTATCAGTTTGCTGCACATATTACCCTGTTGATATTTCATTGTTTTCAATTGATGTAATTTTTCTTCTTCATTATATTCACACATTGTATCATGCCTAATATGCTATAGTGATTCAGATTTTGGTAATTCCCTAGTCCATTGCTCTTTAGACACCTCTTCATATTGACTATATATCAACCTACACTGTGCTTATTAGAAGCCTTTTTGTATGGACTGTCAGAAATTTACACTGTTTAATCTGTTTTTAGTCTCACAGAAAAGGGTTGACTATAAATACAGTTTTGTGGTAAGGTTAATTAGAGAAAGAGCAAGAGAAAAAAAGTACACGCATGTATTTGCAATCCCTTGGGGGTGGAGGAGAAAGGAGAGAGAACAAATTGGAGACAAGACTGAGATGCTGTTGGTTACTGAAAAAGCTGCCTGAGGAGTCACAGCCTGTGCTGGAGTAGGGGCCACACTCCACGAGGGAGGAGGTTTGTAGCTTAGCGATTCTGCAGGATCCTGTCCTACTCTGTGACACGTAGCACCTTTTATCCACTTTGACTGAAACTGGTCCAAAACACAGCAGCCAGGCTACTGTGAGGGGCAGGGATACAGGGATCCTATCAGCCCTGTGCTGAAAGATCTACACTGTTTGGATTTCACGTGGTGGTTCTTACCTTTAAAGCCCTAAATGACTTGTTAAGGGGTACCTTAACAAGCCAGTTTGGTGTAGTGGTTAAGTGCATGGACTCTAATCTGGGAGAACCAGGTTTGATTCCCCACTCCTCCACTCATGGCTGCTGGAGGACCTTGGGCAAGCCATAGGGGAATTTCACATTACCCAGTTTCATCCGGTTTCAAGCTGGTAATCATCCGTTTTGAAGTGAACCGGTACAGGGCTGCCATTTCACACATGGCTTGCCCCTACCGGAAATGAGCCGGATCAGAAGCGGTTTGGCATTTCAGACTGCACCGCTTTTTCCCTGCCATCTTTGGCCCGTGTGGGCGATCTGCAGCTTTTTTTTTTGAACGTTCACTTTATAGCGCTATAGCACTATAACTAAACACTCCAGGCATTCCAATGGGGTTGATATAATGCTATTGTTATAGCGCTATAACGCTATAAATCGAACATTTTTTTAAAAAAAAACAGTGCGGGCGAAAAACGGCGGGAAAAAAGCGTAACAGAATTGGGAGAGGGAACTGAAGACTACTTGGAAGCGGTTGACAGGTAAAACGCTTCAGTCCTAAACGGGACAGAAGCTTTTGTGTATGAAATGGCTAATACATTCCAGTAGGGAACCCATTCTCAAACGGGTTCTGTCTGAAATGAGATATCGCCTGTCTGAAATTCCTCATTGTTCTGTCAGAGGTGTTCTTGAAAAGAGCAGTTTCTGTCAGAGCTCTCTCAGTCCCACCTACCTCACAGGGTATCTGTTGTGAAGGGAAGGGAATAAACCTCTTCTTCTTATCTTCTTCTTCGCTCCTCCTTCTCCTTCCTAATTGACAACCGCTCCCCTAGTGCTACCCTCTGTCCCCAAAAAGGAGAAATAAATTGAGCCACTTGATGGCTACCCCACGAATTCCCATGTCGCTGGGGTGGTGGGTCAGAAGGTCATAGCTGACAGTGTTAAACGCTGCTGTGAGACTGAGCAGCAACAGCAGCACTGACCCGCCTTGATCCAGCTGTCTGCAGAGATCGTCCGTAAGGGCAACCAGCACCATCTCCATCATGAGGATGGTCTTCGAGCTGCTAAACGTTCTATGCTGTTATAATGCTCTAGCTGGGTTTTTAATAGTTTAATTTGTAACTACTGTTATGCTGTTTTATTATTTCATTGTGTGTTATTTTGTCAGCTGCCTCAAGAAGGTTCTCTGGAGAGGCAACACAAAGATTTTCCAAATAAAATAAAAGCCATTTGCAGCAAGGAAATGGTGGAAGGGCAATGATTTAAGTGTATGCATGAGCTCTGAATTCCCTCCTCTTAAAGACTTTGTTAGTTTGCTGGTCAACAGAAAACAGGCATCGGAGAACTGTAGTGTATGTTAGCATGTGATAAACCGATAGCTGGAAATGACTGTTTAAAAGGCATCTGGTAAAATAGCCCTAGCTGCTTTGGACAGAAAATCCTACCCACTCTACAAAACTTTTACTGCAGAAATAGTGCCATTGCACTGTCCATGAAAGAAAAGTCCAGTGCATTTTGTTAAAAGGAACAGCAAATGGAAGTGGAAACAAAAAAACCTATACAGTAAACAGTAGCAGTGTATTGCCCTCTAATGGTGACAAACTAGCAGTACAACATTATGCATGGGATAGAGCAGGTAGAGAAAGAGGTACTTTTCTCTCTTTCTCACAATACAAGAACTCATGGGCACTCCATGAAATTGCTGAGCGGTCGGGTTAGCACGGATAAAAGGAAGTACTTCTTCACCTAAAGAGTGATTAACACTTGGAATTCACTACCACAGGAAGTGGTGGCGGCTACAAGCATGGACGGCTTCAAAAGGGAATTAGATAAGCATATGGAGCAGAGGTCCATCAGTGGCTATTAGCCACAAGGTATAGATAGGGACTCTGGGGCAAGTGATGCTCTGTCATCTTGGTGCTTGGGGGGGGGGGTCAGTAGTGCGAGGGCTTCTAGTATCCTGACCCCACTGGTGGACCTCCTGATGGCACCTGGTATTTTTGGCCACTGTGTGATACAGAGTGTTGGACTGGATGGGCCTTTGGCTTGATCCAACATTGGCGTCTCTTATGTTCTTAACTGTTCTTACCTGTAGATACCGAGGGTGTGCAAGAACTGTACCACATCCTTCCATCTCACAGCGAACATACTGTATTGGGGGCTTCTTCCTAAGAAAATACAATCAAAGAGGAACAGGCGTAGGAAGCAACAGGTAACTGTTAATACTTTTAAGATTTTTTTTTAAAAAAACAACACAGTACAGTGTACTTTTCTAATAGAGACATTGGCAAGGACTAGTTTTGTTCCCTACAACCCTATCTCTTATGAAAGTAGAATTACACCCTTCTTAGGCTATTAGTTACTGACTTAGAAGGGTGTAAGTGCTTAGGATTGCACTTTTAATCCACTGATCTGTTATCTGGAGTTCCACTGAAAACATGCCATGATCTTTGTATTGCTTAGTTCAACACCAGAAGTGCTGCCCACCCCACCAATACCCACCAATACTTGTTAAAAGGAGCTTTCAAAGAATTTTATCCTTTGAATTGCCTACCAGCCTCAGAAGAGACTGTTTGGCACACTGAGTATCCAGAGAATCATATAGAACGTATTTCATTATCCCCTTAAAAGGGACTGTTTACAGTTGGGAATATGAAGGTTTGTTTAGCTTTCTATTCAGTGCTTTTAAGTTTTAAGACCAAGTTTCATAATGAATTCTTGGGGGTGGGAGGGAATCACTAAAATATTATGTTCAGCACCTTTGCCAAGTTCAAAGCCTTCATTTTGCAGAACTGAAATCAGTCACACTAACAAATTAAAAATAGGAAAAGCACCATAAGAAGAAAGTGAACCCAGGCTTGCAACTTAATCATTGCAGTGAAAGAGTAATTTAAATATCCTCCTGAAAGAGATTAGGTTTCTCCAACACTTTCCTTGCCTAAATTCCCCAGAAGTGCCCCCCACAGAAAACAGGGCTTTTGCAACTTTGTTTTTTAAAAAACTGGCACTAGAATACAATTATTAATAATATATTGTCATACTGATAGATATAATAGTTTCTCTGAATGTTCAACTTTAATTTTCTTAAAAGTCCTTCTGCTTGCAGACATATGCATTTTTCCTTGTACCTCTGCAAGGGAAAGGGCTACAGACTTACTTTTTTTGGGGGGGGGATGAAAGCTGGGAATTCAGAGAACATGCTGCACCTTAGCAGTACTATGGAATTTCAATATAACCATATTCTAGCTCCGATACTTTTTTTTTTGGGGGGGGGGACCCAAAAGCCCTAGTGGCAGGGGAGGAAATGGCTGCTGTGGCAAGAGATTCAGGGAAAATGGCTGCCATGAGTCAGAAAATCCAAATTTCCCCCCACTCCTAGCTTTACTACAATCTTCCCCAAGTTTTGGAGCAAAGCAGGTTTGAGAAAGATTGGGTAAAAGCCAAGGAACTCCAGAAGTGTATGAATAAACCACAATACTGTGAAGAAGCAGGGAAAAACCCGCTTCCCAAAAGAAATGAACTTGGGGCAGATAGCTAGCGAGGAAGCCATCCTAGTTACTGTTTCCTCCTGACAGCAGCAGAGAAATCATATACACATGGCACAGACTGTCCTCCCAATTCTGCTAGCATTCACTAGAAATCAATCTCCTTCCACTTTTGTATGTGAAGCAGAAGACATAAAGATGGATCTGTCTAAAGAGCACCTTTGAATAACCAGTGTTAAATTAGCTAGGGTTGTATTATTTTACAATAGTAAAACAAAGAGAGTGGGGTATTTTGAAGGGCAGTACCAGTAGTTAGCCCTGTGTGTATTACAGGAATTGTTCTATTTTGAACTGGCTGTTTGCTTTGTAGTTTTTTGCTGGTATTTTATTTCTGCTATCCACCTTGGGTCCCATTGAGTGACAGAAAGGTAGGCCTATGCATGTTTTAAAGGAATTAAAAATATTAGAGAAAACAAAGACAACTTACCTCCTTTTGGGTAATCTTGGGCTCTTGTCATCTTTTCTCCTTCTCCCCCTCCTAAGAACATAAAGAAAAAATTTAAAAACACAGAACAAGAAAACAACTGTAGATGGGCAAATAAAAGGAAGCATGCTCTAGGCAGTCAGTCACTTAGTAAAAGAAGTACTCGTGCTTAAAAGCACAGCAGAAGGACAACTAGTTTCTGCACTGCATGATGAAAGTCAATAAACACAGTTCCACTAGATCAAACCAACTGAATACTACGCATTTTAACACAACCTGCGGTCCAGTCATGCAGACGTACAAGCCCTGAGGACTTAAGACACAGTGGATTGTATCCAAGGACTCGAAAGCAGAGCTCAGCTTATGGAATGCAACTTTCCAGTCCCCCACGTTGCCTACAGGGTTCAGCTGGCCTGAGAGTGTGTAGGTGTCCTGGGGGGGAAAGACCTGGGAAATACACTACTCAGAATTGCTCTTCTAGCAGAAGAGCCAGTGTGGTGTAGTGGTTAAGAGTGGAAGACTCCAACCTGGTTTGATTCCCCACTCCTCCTCCTCCACATGAAGCCTGCTGGGTGACCTTGGGCCAGTCACAGTTGTCTCAGAACTCTCAGCCCAACCTACCCCACAAGGTGCGTGTTGTGGCAAGAGGAAGGGAAGGTGATTGTAAGCTGATTTCAGACTCCTTAGGGCAGAGAAAAGCAGAGTATAAAAACCTACTTCCCTTCTACAAAAACTGAGCATGGTTATGCAACCCAGATTGTAGGGACGAGTGTTTTTTTTTTTGGGGGGGGGTTCTATTTGTTAAAGGCTGTCTCCAAGGAAACCTATATCTAGCTTTGTTTACTAGTCAAGCCGTTATTTGTGGTTGCTACTAACTCCTCCCCTCACCAGGACTTGCATTATATACAAACAATTTGAGAATGAAGGACATCTGCCCTTTTGGTGGACTTTTGCCAAAGGCTCAAGCGGTGCCTCATGCCTTCAAGTGCTTCATATAAAAGTCCAGTGGAAAGAGAGAGAAACCACTCCCTCCCTTAGGTTCATGAATACCTCAGTTTGGAAAGGAAGAGTTGTTTTTCTCTTGTCTCTTCCCACAAAAGCCTAGCACACAAAGGATAAACCATCCCACCCTACACATTTCCTGTGGAGGAAAAGGAGCAGACCCCAAAATTGCTCCAGGGTATGTGGAGACCCTTGGGAATGTGGTGGGGTGTGGGGGGAGAAAGGATGGCGGAAGTAATACATCAACCCCCTTTATGGGAGTGAAGCACCCTTCTACACATACAGTTCAAGTTTGAATCAAACCTGTACATTTGAATACCAAATTTGTCATAAATAAGACAAAGGTACATGAAAGGAGGTGGGAAAAAGTGTATATGTGGATAGAAAAACTGTTAGAAAACCAATAACCCCAACTTGTGAAAAAAATAAGAGATGGAAGACTCTGATTTATATGTAACTTGAATAGATGAAATGTTTGTGTATATAAATATCAATAAAATAAAACTGTCAATAAAAAAAGACATCTCTTTAATAACAAATTGCCCTTCATTATTTGCATTTGTTATATCAGAAACTTACTTTAAAATATTTTACTAGCCTGTCTACATATACTGTGGTTGTGGCACCAAAATCACTGAATTACCTCCCCAGGGATATTTGTCTATCCCACTCTATCATTGAAGACTTTTCTGTTTTGATTGGCATTCCCTCACCGACTCTCCTTCAAGCTTGTGTGTGTGTATTTTAAAGTTTGTTGACTGCCTTGAGGTCCTTAAATGCATGGAAGGGTGGCATAAAAATGTTGTAAATAACTCATTATTATTGTGGGAACCAAGCAGCAGCACACTACCCATCCAGAAACAAATTACTTGTTCTGTGCAATGACATGTGAAATCAATGTGTTGCTACTTGATACCCTGCAACACTCTGCAGTTACAGAGCAAAGGCTTCCCTTGTGCTGCCCTCATCCCACGCTTTGGGGATATGGAAATATAATTTCTAGAAAATATTTTTTTTGACTTCTATGTTTGGTGCTCAGCATTGACACGGTCTTGGTTTCATCTGGAGTTGAAAATAGTAGAAGAACAAGCATACATACATACATAGGTACAAAATCTCTTACTTCCTGGGGGGCTCCTCATCTTCCCGAAACTCAATTTCTTCTTTGACTTCTACCTCTACTTTAATTTCTTTCTGTTTCTCTTTTTCTTCTTTTCCCTTCCCTGATTTTTTCCTTTGTTTTGGAACTTCCCTGCAGATACAGACATAATAAATTTTCACAAAGACTTTTTAGGTAACCCCTGTATTTTAACTATGTGTTGTAGCTTTCAAACAATTCAGCAATATGGACCTTGAGAAATTCCAGTCTTTCATAATTTCCATTCCTGGAAATAATTAATCAACCATGTGCTTTTGATGTGAAAACTTTGGTTTGCGTACTAATTGACAGATATTCTCTCAACAGCTCAGACTAGCAGCATACAATCCCTCTGAATAGAAAACAGAATACAAAGCACCTGTCTAAATGGGGCTTATAGGTTTCATCTCTCGGATCATCTCTGAAGGGAACTTCTTCTTCGCTGATGAGCATTTCTTCTTCATCACTGTTAATGGAAAAAGAAAGGGAGTGCTGGAATTGTTTATTCACATGTGCAATATGTTTTTGGACAGAGAAGACAACAGGCACCCTTATTCTGAGTTTCATGTCACCTGTAGTACATAGTGCATATGCTATATGGAAGCAATATGGAGAAGAACCAGATTCCTATGAAAGATGGAACAACAACTTCCAAATGCATGGTGGCGAAAGCCTGCTATCTCATCTTCTCATTTGTTTCAAGATGGAATCAATAGTTCTAATTATCCGACAGCAATTATTTCATTGCACATTAGCAAAGGTAAGCAGAACTAACAGGATCTAAATCCTTTAACCTATTTTCCTTTGATAGCCTTTTAAACCTTCCAGCTGACATTTTCTATCTCCTTTATCTCTCCCTTATAATAATTGAATAGCAACGTTTTATATTGAACGTTCTAAATTTGGCCCCTTTAGTGTTAGGCCGGAAGAACTGCCACTCAAAAGACGCTGGCTGGGTTGACTGGCTGCTTTGTGCAGTCCCGCCCAGCGTTCCAAGGTCATTTGCATGTGGAAGCTGATTGGACTTCACTCCATTCCACACCTCAAACTCCCCCCCCCCGCAAGGCAGTTGGAATTTTCAGTTGCATAACATACCTCATAGGGGAGAGGAGAATGATTTCAGCTGCTTTGGTTACCACTGCAGGGAAAGACTGCCCTTTCCCGAGGCTGGGGAGGGGGGGTTGTAAAACTTAAGACAGACAGGCAGATAAAGGTTGGCTGATGGTTGCCAGGAAAGGACATAGGGTTGCCAATCTCCAGGTGGGACCTGGAGATCTCCCACTGTTACAATTGATCTCCAGATGACAGAGATCGGTTCCCCTGGAGAAAATGGATGCTTTGGAGGGTAGACCCTATGACATTATACCTGCTGAGTCCTCCCCCCCTCGCCCGGCCCTCTACAGAATCCACCCCCCAAACCTCCAGGTATTTCCCTCCTTAGAGCTGGCAACCCTACATTCCCCTCAGTGCCTGTTGGTAGGCAACTAAGCTTGGTCCTGTCACCTACTTTGGCCTTTGGGAGAAAACACATTGGAGCCAGTCCTGATAGGGTTGCTGTCTAGTTTTACTTTCAAAATGTTCTTTATGTTTTACTCTGTAGGGTATTCTGGCTGCCACCAGGAATTTTACTTAATTCCAATTCTTCTCTTTGCTTCTGGGATTGGTATTGTAGTGCGGGGTCTAGGCCTTTCGAGGAACTATGTGGTCTGAGGAAGGATTCTTTACTTAGCTGGTAAACTTGAAGTAAATAGGATTTATTTAACGAAAGTATAAACACGAGGGTGAACAAGGGAAACAGTACTGGGAATGATTTGACCAAATGCTTGGTGTCTCTCACAAGCCTCTCTCCCCTGACAGGGATATTTCATAGGCAACTTTGTAACACTTTTCACTGTACTTTTCTTAGACTCTCTCAGCTTTCAATCGTAACTCTTATAACACAGAGACTTTTCCTCTTATATTTCACACAGGAAAACTTCTCACACAGAGACCTCAGGACAAAACTCCTATATTAACTGCTTTTAACACAGCACACTCTGCTCTCTCTGACTAACTGCTTTACTCAACTGTCATACCTAACAGACACACCCGATAGACATTCCAATCATCCACCCAGCATCCATTCCAAAACCCCTCCCCCTCTCTGTCACTCACCAATCATATCCCTTGCTTGTCCAGCACTCTAGATTCCTCACACAGCTATGCCAACCAAACTTTTAAACACACACACAGTAAACCATGGAATCGTTACAGTTGCCAACTCCAGATGGGAAATTCCTGGAGGGATGGAGCCTGAAGAGGGTGAGGTTTGAGGAGGGGTGGGACCTCAGACAGGTACACTGCCATAGACTCCACCCTCCAAACCACTCAGTCCCACATAGGGAACCATTGTTGCCAATCTCCAGGTGAGGCTGGAGAGCACTCAGAATTACAACTGCTCTGCAGAAGGGAGGGCAGAAGTCAGCTGAAGTCAAAGGGGCAGATAATGGTAGGTTGATGGTTAGCTGGGAAGGAGATGGGGTTGCCAACTACATGCTGACAAATTCCTGGGGATTTGAGGGGTGGAGCCTGGAGAGGGTGGGGTTTGCAGAGGGGTGGGACCTCAGACAGGTAGAATGCCATAGACTACACCCTCCAAACCAGCCACTTTGTCCTGGGTAACAATTGCTGCCAATCTCCAGGTGAGGGCTACAGATCACTCACAATTACAACTGCTCTTCAGGTAGCAGAGATCAGTTCCTCTGGAGAAAACAGTGGACTCTGTCATTATACCCTGCTGAGGTCACCACAGCAAATTGACACTGTTTGCCCAAAGCCAGAGCACTGCCCCAGAGCCTCTTTCTAGATCCCGTTGTATTGCTTTCACAACGGGCTTTACTGCTAGTCAATCAATAAGAAGCGTAAGTTTCAGAGGAAAGAAAGGCAAGCATACAAAAAGTTGCCAGCTCAAATAAAGAGTGGATGAATGTTCCTTTATATGGCAAAATCAGACAGTAACAGTGTAGCTCTGATAGCTCAAGCCACTGTGGGCTCTAGTAACTAACACCATTACACCACAGATCAAAAAGAGCCTAGGACAGTAACTCCAAACCTTCCCACAACTGAGTGACACCTCCCCTCATTAAAACAGAATGCAAGAAGTCTGGCAATGATTTCAAAAATGGATTTTAAGTAAGGATCATAAAACCAACCAGATATAGCACACAGGTCTCCTTCAATTCTGCTGGCACCTTAAGGGCTCATTTCTGACACTAGAAAAGCTTCATCAACACAACATTTACATAACTGTATGGTAACTTCACCTCCCATATGTTTTTCAACATGAGACCCTATCAGCAAGGAACCACACAACAGACAGCTGTCGGAGATAAATCATAAGTACATCTTGGGATGTAGCTTTCTAGAACATTTCCATAGCATGTTATATTCCTAAACTAGAATGGAGAGTAATAGCTCAGGTTAAGTGAGTGGGCTGGCCCATCCTGTAGCAAACTCAGGGCTCTTTGCACTGAAGATTTAGCATATGAACCATTTAATGCCATTTATCAACATCTTACTGCCATATGTTTCATCTGTATTCCTCCTGTAATATACTGAAATGCCATTTTAGCCTCAGAGCCACCTTATCTGAACTGGTATTTCTACATTCAAGCCAATAATCTAGCCTGGTGGGAGAAGAACACTCCAATAAAAACTTCTTACCTGATCCCAGATGGAGAAGGATGCTCTTCTGTGACCTCTAAAAAAGAGCAAATGATATGCATCAGATGTCTATTTAAAGAAAGTATCAGTACTTGCTGTATCTCTAGCAGTACAATACTATGTGCAAATAATATAACATCCTGATATTCCACAACATAACCAAGGGGAATGCTCCCTCCAGTCACTGATGTGGGCCATACATTTTTTCTGTAATGGAATTTTTCTACATAAACTTTTCCATTTCTAAAAATGTATTGTTTCAAAAAAGTAACATAATGAATATGACGTCAGTCAGACTTGTCAAGTAAAAATCTGAAAGGCATCAGTGAGCACAACTGTTTTGGTGTTCTCACATTAGGGTGTTAAAGCCTTTTTGTTCTTAAAAAACATAAGGCAGTAGTTTCCTAACTGTGGGTCGGGGCCCAAAGGTGGGTCTCAAATTTGTTGCAGGCGACCTTCAAGGCGAGGAGGAAGAACAGGGTGAGCTGGGAGAAGGGGCTCAGTGGTACGTTTGAGTGTCTCCACACAGTGTGCAGAAACACCAGAACATTCAGCCTGTTGCTCTGGAACACGGGAGCCTTAGAAACAGAAAATATACATGTACTAAACATAAACAATTACTATGTTTTATGCTTGGGAAGGGAAATTAGCACAGTGTTACTTTGCCACCGGGTCCCAAGAAATTCAGTAAACTATAATGTGGGTTCCACTTTAGAAAAAAATTAAGAAACATTAATGTTGGGCAAATGTTACCATATTTTAAAACATTTATATATGTTTCAATAAAAATACATTTCAAATAGCTATATTTTTCTGAACTTTTAACTCAAATTTAATACCTTTTTAATTTTTTTCTGAATCAGATATTCAATCCCTATAACTCTTTGCTACTGGGAAAACATAGTAGATCAGATTGCAAACTACACGGTACTGTAACTTTTCCCTATTCCTAGATTTTCCAGAAAACCCATGTGACTTACCCAGAGTTGGCACTAAAATTTTATTTGCCATTTCCCTGACAACCATTCAAAAATAGCCCCAAGTCAAAAGATACATAGGTTATATTACATTAAATAATGTTGATTGTTAGATTGTTATTCAATTTTCTTGTAATTTTAGTGCATTTTCAAAACAATCTCTATATATTAACAAATTACAGAATATTTTTATAATGCTAACGAGTTAGAACTTCTGCCAGACAATCTTAGGATCTCCTGGCTATACTATACACACTACCATACGATAATTAATTTAGGTTCTTCTGGTGTAATGGTCTTTGTACATGAGACTGCACAGCTCTAATTTCCATATGTTTTATAGCACACATTATAATAACCTTGGTATTTGTCTACAACAACTGATGATAGTCATGGAATGAACTTGGTATTACATATTAAAAACTGTACTCTTAAAAATTTAGTTCCCAGTGCTTCCCAGATAAACTCTTGCCAGTCTCTCTAGCAAGTAGGAACTTTCTGGGGCTGGAACTTTCTGTGCTCCAGAAGTCTAGTCAGCAGAAAGAAAGGAGGTGGAGCTTGAATGCTTGCAGATCATATCTGCAGTCTAGCAGAAGCAGACAAGCTCATTTGCGGGGAGGGTGGGGTATAAATCTGATAAATAAATAAATAAATTTGCAACTCTTGAAATAAACATCCCATGTTGACTCTCTGATATCAGAACCCATGGTCAACATGGGATGTTTATTTCAAGAGTGGATAAGTGGAAATGGATAAGAATTGTAATTACTACATGCTCAGATAAAGCAATCCCTGTGAAACGGATATTTTTATTGCGCAAAATTCATTGTGTATGAGCAATACAAGAAGAGAGTTTTCCTTAGAATTATAATTATTATAGTAAACAATTTTGCATATATATCTTTATTGACTTCATTATTTTTGTCACGGATGTTTTGTTTGGACTTCCATCTCCTTCCATAATCTCTCTCTTTTGGTTTTGAACCTCTAGGAGGTGGCTGGTGATCTTCTGGGATTACAACTGATTTCCAGGCTACAGAGATCAGTTCACTTGGAGAAAATGGCCACTCTGGAAGGTGAACTCTATAGCATTATACCCCATTGAAGTCCACCCCAAACCCCGCACTCCTCAGGCTCCACCCCCCAAATCTCCAGGTATTTCCCAACCTGGAGCTGGCTCTACTAAGTAGCAGCTTGTTCTCTGCCAGTCTCAGCAGGAGCACACAAACTCCATCTGCAACCTTTATTTCACATAGTGCACTGTGGAAAGTGTTTATTGTCTGTGAAATCCAACAGCAGCAAAATTCATTCGCAAGCTTTTCATTTAACCCAGATCTAGGTTAAGCAGAGAGAAAAACTCTACCTCCTGCCTATCATTCCCTTCAGAGCTCCAACACATGGAGCTGTGTACTGTCTGTTTGGTGTGGAGGGCTAGGAAATGGTCAGTTAGCGTGTGCTTTAAGCCTTATACTTAACCTTGTATGTAAGGTAAATTAGTACTTGCAGAAATACTTTATTCCAGCAGGTAATTTGCAGGTTACATGCAACTGTCTGTCTGGTGCTGCAGCTAGTGGGTACGCTTACTCTGTCCCAGACCGAGTCAGGTTGACTGAGAGTGTCATCCTGAATCTATTCCTTTAGGTCTCAAACAGCTTCCTATAGTTCTATTTTTGCCCATTCTTTTTGTTCAGTGCCATTATAAAAACACACATTTTACCCCTGAGTTTTTGCCAACGGTTAACAGTACAGGCTTAGACCACTAATATTCCAGTGCAAAGACTGAAGTCTATTTTACACAGACAAAATACTTCCATCAGGTTCAGGCTAAGTCCCCTAAGTGGCCTACAAGAAACATGCTTAGATACAATGTTCAATGAATGGGAAATGATTGCCTTTTTGAACTTCATGGAAAACTGGCTTGATGTTTTTCTTCTCAGGTTGATACTTTACTTCTGTTGGCTGTTTTTGTCATCTTTTTTACATAAAGTGAACACATAAAGTTTGTTTCATGACAAAAATGCTGCAATTTCCTTTGTGTAGGAATAGAGAAGAGAGATCTCCATGCCAAACAATATATTATATTATAAAATGTCTAAATTACTGTTTTAAAAAAAATTATTTTAAAATAAGGTCTGATTTCTAAACCAATCTCAAACTTATTTGAGTAGTATTGTGACATGATTAGACTTTACAGCTGGCTAAAATAATGCACAATTTGCATCCTATCAAAACATTCCCATCTCCTTAAGAACATAAGAAGAGCCATGCTGGATCAGACCAGTGAGGGTCCACCTAGTCCAGCATCCCGTCTCACACAGTGGCCAACCAGTTCCTCTGGAGAACCAACAATAGGGCAGAGAGGCCGAGGCCTTCCCCTGACGTTGCCTCCTGGCTCTGGGATTCAGAGGATTAGTGCCTCTGAATGTGGAGGTTCCTCTCAGTCTTTATGGCTAGTAGCCATTGATAGACTTATCCTCCATGAAGCTATCTAATACCCTTTTAAAGCTGTTTAATCCTGTGGCTGTCACTACATCCTCTGGCAGCAAATCCCACATTTGAATCACTCTCTGTGTAAAGTAGTATTTCCTTTTGTTCACTCTGAATCAGTTTAATTGGATGCCCCCAAGTCCACTCTCCACCCCATACATAATCTTATAAACCTCTATCATGTTCCCCCCCCCTTAGTCCTCTCTTTTCTAAACTGAAAGGTGCCAGACTCTTCAGCCTCTCCTCATGCTCCAGCCCCCTCATCATCTTGGCTGCCCTCTTCTGTACTTTTTCCAGCTCTGCAATGCCCTTTTGGAGACACAGCAACCAGAACTGCACACGGTATTCCAAATGAGGCCGCAACACAGATCATTGCAATATCTTCACAGCAACTAAAACTGAATCCAGTTTATTTGAATTCAAAGTTGTAAGATGCCAGTCAGCGTCTCCACAAACTAATCCTCTCTTATAAATTCATTTTATTCATTTTTATTGTTGTTTATGACTCTGGTTACAAAAACAGTAAGTAGTAATAAATTATTCTGTTTTATTGTTGACAACCATCAGCCAATAAACATTTTCAAAATCGTAATCAAATTATCTAATATCTGTGCATCATCATGTTACACGTGTATTCCGCCCCTTCAACTGTCACAAGTGCAGACTGTCCTCTTGCAGTCACATTTCCACAGGGACAACCAAGATGACTTGCCACAACTGTCTGTGAAAATCAGTGGACTAGAATATGTGCCATCCTAGTAGACAGTTTGCTTTTTCACAGTTAAACAATGCTGTTACCCCACCTTTGTGGCATGTGCCTATCTGAGATAACCATTTGAAGTAACAATAACTTATAAGATACAATGCTAAAGGCACACAAATGGTGGCTTTAAGAATATCAAATTTGAAAATAAATGAATAAATAGGCATCATCTTATAAAACATAAATTTTATGTCACTACAATGACAGTTCAAAAATTTTCATTTTCAAGTGAATTAATGAAACATACCAAATTCTAGCTGGTCTGTGTTTGGTTCTGACTTGCAGATGAGCTGCAGGGATCCAGTCTTTGATCTAGAACTGCGTGAATTCTCTGCTTCACACTGATGAACTGCAGTTGCCCTGTTGCTACGCCAGCCTCGGGTGGGCCTGACGGTACTAACTGGGATACCAGCAGCAATAACATTTGTGACTTCTTCCTCTTCAGCTTCTTCTTTGGGATCTGTGATACAAATACATTAAGACATACCTAGATCAGGAAAGGAAACCCTCACTACTATTGGGATTACTGAGTTAGTAAAGATCACAGAAAACTCTATTAATACTGTCAAGGAATATGTGGGTTTTAAAAAGTCCTTTTTTGAAAGTTAGGAATAAAAACACTGCCAAATCAATATTCACACATCCCTCAATGCCATACCTGCCATAAAATTTGTCTTTATATAGGCTTCAAAACCTTCTGAAAAATAAACACAATATAGACAAACTCGGTCTTTGATGATGAAATTTCTGCAAGATGGAAATAACTTTCCAACAGTTAAATCCTAAGAAGAGTTACATTCTTCTAAATTCACTAAAGTCAAAGGCCTTGAGGGCATGTAACTTCACTTAGGATTTCACAAGAAACATACCTACATTTAGCTATTAGACCCTGGGGGGGAATGAACCTGCAACAGACCACAAGATGGAGTTACCATGTTCTGTTTTAGACAAAGCAAATTTCAATTGAATCTTGAAGGTAGGTACCACATAAATTTATTAACAAGAGTTCATTATAAAAGTCAGTGGATATATAAGCTGATGATACATTTTTAAAACCAAAGTAAGAAAGCAGCCAGAGGTGGTGGGACTATTGGATAGCAGAAGTTCTAAGAAAACACACAAAAGGAAAGAATTAAAATTGAAAAAAACCAGACTGAGTTCTTTGCTTTTGATTAATGTGAAGATGCTACACATCAGGGTACATCACCACAACAAGAGTTTACGTCGGACTTTGATGGAAGTTCCTGGAGACTGTAGAAGGTTGTAGAAGACAGCATTGCTCCTAGGGAGATGGATAAAGGATCTATTCCAGTGACCTGCCAGGGTTGCACCATGATAATTTTTCTGCCTTGCCAAGAAATGGTGCAACCTCATTTGGAGTACTGTGTACAGTTCTGGTCACCACACATCAAAAAGGATATTATAGCATTGGAAAAAGTGCAGAAAAGGGCAACTCGAATGATAAAAGGGTTGGAACACTTTCCCTATGAAGAAAGGTTAAAACACTTGGGGCTCTTTAGCTTGGAGAAACGACGGCTGAGGGGTGACATGATCGAGGTTTATAAGATTATGCATGGGATAGAGCAAGTAGAGAAGTACTTTTCTCCCTTTCTCACAATACAAGAACTCGTGGGCACTCCATGAAATTGCTGAGCAGTTGGGTTAGAACAGATAAAAGGAAGTACTTCTTCAGCCAAAGAGTGATTACCACATGGAATTCACCGCCACAGGAGGTGGTGGCAGCTACAAGCATGGACAGGTTCAAGAGGGAATTAGAGAATCATATGGAGTAAAAGTCCATTAGTGGCTATTAGCCAAAAGGTATAGATAGCCCACTTTGTGGGGAGGGCGGGGTATAAATTTGATAATAAAAAAAATAGGAACTTTCAGGCTGGGGCAAGTGATGCACTGTTTCTTGATGCTTGGGGGGGGGGGGACAGGGGGGGGGGTTCTTGGGGCCTGGCCCCCTTTCTTATGCTGCAAGCTTATAAGAATGCTTGAGGAGAAGGTGGGAGAACTCGAGGCACAAATCTGTACACTGAGGAACTCAGGGAGGGAGAAAGGTTTTTAGACATGACGGAAGAGGGGCTCATGAGAGAACGGCAAGAGCTAGCAAATCCTAAGCAAGAGGAAGGAAGTAACAAGGAACAGACGGGTGAGTGGAAAAATGTGACTTTGAGGAGTAAGATAACCAGGAAACACTCACAGCCAGTGGAGCTGCAAAATCACTACCAGCCGCTTCTGATGGTGGAAGATGAGACTAACACACTCCGAGATCGAAAGGATGTCGCTGACACACAAACACATAGGCAGAGAAGGAACCAAGCTATCCTGTGGGGGAAGAGACAAGTAGTGGTGGTTGGTGACTCCCTGTGCCGAGAGGGACGGAAGTTGTGTGCAGACCGGACAAGGAATCTCGAGAGGTTTGTTGTCTTGCTGGAGCGTGTATCCAAGGTATGACTGAGAGAATTTCAAGACTGGTCAAAACCTCTGACTGCTACCCACTCCTGCTGATCCATGTGGGAACAAATAATACAGCCTGAAGAAACCTTGAATGGATCTCCAAAGACTACGAGGCTCTGGGCAAGAAGGTGAAAGATCTGGGGGCACAGGTAGTGTTCTCCTCCATTTTACCTGTTGAGGGCCATGGAACTGGAAGGGAGAACAGGATACTAGAGGTGAATGGCTGGTTACATAGATGGTGCCATCGAGAGGGATTTGGCTTCCTGGACCATGGTATGAACCTCTGACATGAGGGACTGTTGGCGATGGATGGGGTGCACCTTACAAAGAATGGGAGGAATGTCTTTGCTGGAAGACTTGAAACCTGATCAGGAGGGCTTTAAATGGAAGACATCGGGGTTGGGAAGAAAAAGCCTGATGTTGTGAGTTCAAGAAAGAGAGTGACCAGAGAATAAATGAACGGGAGAGAGGTGAGTTCAGTAATTTTCAGGTAAATTCGAAGGGACCTAAGATAGGAAATGATGTCTGTAACCTGAGATATCTTTATACTAATGCACAAAGTATGGGGAACAAACAGGAGGAACTTGGACTTCAAGTATTGGAAAGTAAGTATGATCTGATAGGTATGACTGAAACTTGCTGGGATGAGTCTCATATATGGAGCACAGCGACTGAAGGATATAACTTCTTCAAACAGATCAGAATAAATAAAAAAGGAGGTGGGGTGGCACTATATGTCAAGAATGAATACACTTGCACTGAAATTCAGGATTTCGAGAGTTGCCCTGTTGAAAGTGTGTGGGTAAGGATAGAGGGAGGGAAAAAAGAAGGGGATATTGTTGTGGGGGTATACTACAGACCTCCAATGATGCATTTGGATGATGCATTTGTACAACAGCCTGATAAACTTTCACAGAGACAGGATGTTGTGGTTATGGGAGATTTCATATTTGATGGAAATCTAACTCTGCTAGACATGGGGCATCCCGCAGATTCTTGAATAGTCTTGCCGACAACTTCATATCTCAGAAGGTGGAGGTGGGAACCAGAGGATCTGCTATCCTAGATTTAATCTTGACTAACAGGGAAGAACTGATTGATGAAGTGAACGTTGTGGGATCCTTGGAGAACAGTGACCATGTGAGCTTGGAATCTGACATAGAGAAGAATGTGAAACCAGGACATAGTACGACTCATATCCTGGACTTCAGGAAAGTTGATTTTAAAAAACTCAGAGAAATATTAGGTAGGATCCCATGGCTGGAAATGCTGAGAGGGAAATCTGCACAGGAAGGATGGATGATGCTGAAAAATGAAGTGCTTAGGGCACAATCGCAAATTGTTCCAGTAAGAAAGAAAGGTAGACGGGTAATGAAGCCAAGGTGGCTGAACAAGGAACTCTCTAAAGAGCTGAGACTAAAAAGGGGAAATATACAGGAAATGGAAGGAGGGTCAAATTATTGAGGGTGAGTACAAGAAGCAGGCTCGAATCTATAGGTGTCAGAAAGGCTAAAGCGCAGATGGAGCTGAGGCTTGCTAGGGATGCTAAAAATAACAAGAAAGGTCTCTATGCCTATGTTCAGACCAAAAAGAAGAACAGGGATGGGGTAAGGTCATTGCTAGGGGAAGACGATCAAGGGATGAAGACAAAGCAGAATTACTTAACTCTCACTTTGCATCGGTCATTAACCATAAGGCAAGCTGTATACAAACTGAAGAATGCAGGACATATGAAGGAAGGAGGAACTGCCAGTCCAGAGTAAGTAAGGAGTTGGTTAGAGAGCATCTAGCTGCCTTAAATAATTTCAAATCTCCAGGGCCGGATGGCTTGCATCCCAGGGTGCTAAAAGAAATTGAAGATGTTATTTCAGAGCCTCTGGCTCTAATCTTTGAGATGTCCTGGAGTACTGGTGTTGTGCCGGAAGACTGAAGAAGAGCGAATG